GATTAAGGGCTCACCCCACCCCACGATGACCTCATCTGAACTTAATAATTACAACTGCCATCACTTTATTTCCAAATAAGATCACATTCTGAGGTACTGAGGTTGGGACTTCAACATATAAATTTTGCATGGTACACAGCTCACCCCATAACACCAGGGCTTTACTTTTGCAGAGATCCTTTGTTAAACGTTTACCAGTACACTACTGCACAAAGGCCTGAGATTGTTCTCTTTCTCAATTAGGATTCTACAGAGGGATAAGAGGCAAGCAATTTCAAACAGAAAGGCACACGACTGATGACTATAAGTAACTAGTAAGACCTAGTTCATGATTATGAACCCAGTGTTTTTCTAATCTAAGATACTTAAGAAATGTATAAGTAGATAAAACTCCCCCACAAGATAAGAGAGTATTATCTAGCAATACGTTGTATGTGTCTTGTCATAAGGCATCAAAATGGATAACTAGAGTGTTTGTGAGACTAAAATAGTCGGTGACCTTTCAAACATATCTGACTTCAGTTTAAAAAGTATAATAATTTGGCTGGGCTGGTGGCTCACACCTGTAATCCCAGCACTTTGGTAGGCTGAGGCAGGTGGATCGCTTGAGGTCAGGATTTTGAGACCAGCCTGGCCAACATGGTGAAACTCCATCTCTACTAAAAATACAAAAATTAGCCTGGCATGGTGGCGCACATTTGTAATCCCAGCTACTCAGGAGTCTGAGGCAAGAAAATCACTTGAACCCCAGAGGTGGAAGTTACAGTGAGCCGAGATTGTGCCACCGCACTCCAGACTGGGTGACAAAGCCAGACTCCATCCCCCCCAAAAAAGGAGAAATATAATAACCTAATACATGTTGTTCAGTTATCCCTAAAACATGATTTTACTAAATGTGAATAGCAACACTGTATCCACCTGAGTCTAAAACAGGTCAATCTATCAGTGAATTTAAATAAATTTTTGATACTGTCTGATTCTATTTATATAAAATTCTAGAAAAGGCAAAACTGTAACGACAGAAAGCAGATCGATGGTTGGCGGTTGGCAGGCAGGGGTTGGAGAAGACTCAGTTTCCAAAGGCATGAAGAAGATTTTAGGATGAAGGAACTCTTTTATATTTGATTGTGGTTACATACTGTATACAATTATCAAATTCATCTAATGCTACCCTTAAAATGAATGAATATTATTATATATAAATAATACCTTAATTTTTCTTAAGTAAAAATACGAAGCTAAGAAAAAAGGTTTAGGGGCCGGGCACGGTGGCTCATGCCTGTACTCTCAGCACTTTGAGAGGCAGAAACATGCAGATCACATGAGGTCAGGAGTTTGAGACCAGCCTGGCTAACATGGTGAAACCCCATATCTACTAAAAATACAACAATTAGCCACGCATGGTGGGAGGGGCCTGTAATCTCAGCTACTCAGGCGGCTGAGGCAGGAAAATCTCTTGAAATCAGGAGGCAGAGGTTGCAGTGAGCCGAGATTGCACCATTGCACTCTAGCCTGTGCAACACAATGAGTCTCTGTCCCAAAAATATAAATAAATAAATAAATAAGATTCAGGAGGAGGTAGAATAAATAGAACTTGGTATGTACATTCTTTGCTTTACATGGTTGCTGTGTTTCTAGAAAAGATGTATGAAAATAAAATTGAAAATGCCCTACAGGAACTATCCAAACTAGCATTCCAACTAATTTCTAATAGGCAATTTCAAACATACACAAAAGTTGACAGAATGACGTAATGAAACCCAATATACTGAACACCCAGCTTTAACATTTGTCTATTTGTGATCAATTTTGTTTCATTTATATCTCATTCTACTTTTACCCTGCTACTCAGTTATTCTGAAGCAAATGCTAGACATTATATAATTTCAACCATTGAAATTTTAGTATAAATCTCTAGTAAGTAGTTTTAAAAACGTAACCAAATACCATTATCACACCTAAAAAATTAACAGTAATTCTTGAATATCATCTTGGTCATAGTTCAAATATCTAATTATTTCACAAATTTATAAATTTTCATTTTTACAGTTTGTTTGAATTAAAATCCAAATAAGGACCATACATTGAAATTGAGATACCTTTTAATTCAGTTTTAAAAATTATTATTATGACCAGGCATGGTGGCTCATGACTGTAATCTCAACACTTTCGGTGGATTGCTTGAACCTAGGCAACACAGCAAGACCCCACCTCAACAAAATAATCAGTGAAACTGGTAAATGAATGCCTATCAATGGAATTTTCTGCCTTTCAACCAAACAATTATTTTGAAATCACATTGGCCACAAAGTAAAACTCCAAACTATGCTAGCTTAGTAGACTGAAATAGAGTAAAATTGACAAGGGGCATGAACAGAGCCCATCCAGAACTACACTGATTTTTTTCAGAAATAGGGACTGAGAAAAGGCATGTAAGCTTGCTGTGGCAACAGACAGCCTAATAACTTTTCCTAAATAAAATCACAGTTTCAGTTTGCCCCTCCAGAGTTACATGACATTTTTGTTTCGGGAAGCAGCCTGTAAAGTATAAGGCAGACATGCTATGAGAGCTCTGGAGTCATATTTCTATAACTATCAACACTTTATCTTTTTCCATTGTGTTGTTTAGAAACACATCCTGACTCAGATTTTTCCTGTAATGCCATTTGTTTGGTCTACCAATTCACTTGCATATTTTAGTGAAATTATTTACCTTGTGTAAAAATCAAAGGCAACAACTTTCATGGCCAAATAGATGTGATATGTTTGTTATGATAGTTGGCTGGCCATATTTGATGGTATGACTACACTTGTTAAAATTAGCCCAACCATACTCAATGTGATTTTGGATTATTTTTCTTCTTGGAGGACTACAAGCCTCACAAGGAAGCAAACCAGAATTATATAGTTATGTCTTTTTTCTCTTTCATTTTGCCTTTCTTACCTAGTGACATGCAGTTAGTTACTAACCAATACAAAATTTGAATAAATGAATCGATCAGGGAATCAGGCCATCAGTAATCACAGATTTAATATTTGCTTTGGTTCTGCTATCGTGGGAAAGCTCTGTTATCTCTGGAGTCATTATTGAGCCCAAGTTCCTTTGATTACATAGAGGAGACAAAAAAAAAAAAAAAACCAAGGATGTATTTTCCATATAATAGAGAGATATTCAGTATAATAAATCATAATATAAACTCAGAAGTTATCTTTATCATAACATAATAGGTAAACCAAAATATACAATAAGTTAGCCAAAATAAGGTTAAATTTTACAGCATTTACAGATAAGGTTAAATGCAATTTATTTCTTTGATGGAATAAATTAATAGGGTAATGTTTCATTCAATTTTTTCCTGTTTATTCAGGCCTTGCTGATAGCAATTTTAACTTCCATGTACAAAGAAATTAATCACATTTAATGTGTTCATTGGTGCAATGACATGCCTGAAGCAAGTAGGTAGAAACTGATTTTGCTAATGTCATTGGAATGTGTTTTTGCCAAGCTCTGAATGATCATGCTTAATGGCAATGCTAAGACAGATGATATATGTGTTTTTTATTGAAGGAATTTATTTTACTAAAAATAGTTCAATGTGTAGTTAAGTCTGTTTCCATATCCATATAGTAAGTTACTTAAAATCTTATATCTATTCTGAACCCAGCTGTGCCTGGCCACATTTTTTTCAATGCTGAAAAAACAGAAATGAGGCTTCCTAAGTATGTTATCTTAACTCCCTTTTGTCGACTATGTAGAGAGAATAATGACTGCCCAAACATTTCTAAACTTTAATTATCAGAAATTGCAACTAAGGACCTTGAGATGAAGGGAGTGGTCCCGCTTATCCAGGTGAGATCAATGTAATCACAAAGGTCCTTCCTTAAATGAGGGAGAGAAAGACAGATGAGTCAGAACTAGAGAGATGGCATCATAAGAAAGACTACACTGGCCATTCCTTACTTTAAATATGAAAGAGAGCTACAGGTCAAGGAATGCAGAAATCTCTAGAAGCTGGAAAGGGGCAAGAGAACAGATTTTCCCCTAGAGCCTTCAGAAAAGAACATAGGCCTGCAGACCCTCTGCAGAATTTAGCCCAGTTGATATGCATTTTCAACTTCTGATAGGTACAATGGTAAGATAATACATTTATGTTGTTTTAAGCTATAAAGTTCATAATCATTTGTTATAGCAGCCAGAAGACACTAATACAGTTGTTATAGTAGGTAGCTAGTCAGGCATGAACAGGGCAGGAGAGGATTCCCCCTTCCTCCCCCTGTCACACACCAGGACTGTCAGGCAATCATCAGATGATAAGGCAGTTGTTAAGTGTCTCTTTAAAATAATAATTGGTTATAGGCAGCGCCAGAGAAAGGCAGTCTCCCGATAGATAAAAAAAACACCTGAAACTGGTGATTAGCAGCTTTCTGATAAGATCTCAGAAGTTGGGCAAGTGGGCTCAAGCATGCACTCTTAGGGTCTCAATTTGTATATCTTGACATTGACGGAGTTTAAAATAAATTCAAAAAAGTTACATGCTTCCACTAGCTTCTCTTCCAGCTAAGGCAGATACTCGTAATGGTTCACTGCACCCTTTTACATAATAGGTAAACCAAAAATTTTATACAATAAGCTTCACAATCCAAACTCAACCATCCAGGCACCTGCTACCAGACCATCAGAGTTAACATGTCAAGGTGAAACTTATTCATCTTTCTTGGAAATAATCTCTAAAATGGCTTCCAGTTCCAAGAACTTAAGTTTCTGTGCTTTTCCAATTTAATGATTCTGCCCCAGCTATTTAAAAATGACTTGATAAGAATGAATCTTCTCCTGCACTTTCATTGACTCACTTCTCCTAAGAGTTCCTTTACAAGTATTTATGAAATTGAGGAGACAAAGTTTTTTCAGTATAATAAACCCAATTTAGAAAGTTGTTTCTTGTGCTGACAAAAAAAAAAAAAAAGAGGAACTACAGAGAATAACAGGACAGGTGATTTACGTTGGTGCTCTTGACCTTAATCTGTCTCTGTTGTTTCACTGAAAGTTGATAGCAGTTGAACAATAAGCATAGTGACGACCTGAGAAAGAAACAAAATGAGTGTGGAAAGCTGACATTTAGTTAAACTATAAAGTTAACTAGAATGAAGAAAGCAATATGTCCCCAATAAGGAGGAAGTGTTATGTAGTGAAAAGAGCACAGGCTTTGTAATTAAGCAGGCCTAGATTCAAAAAAGAACTTGAAACCTGTGTGAACTTAGGGAAGTCACAGAACTTCTCTGAGTCTGGGTCTTTACATGTAAAAATGAGGCATAATAACTACCTCAAGGGGTTGGGATGAAAGTCAAATTAGATGAGTTTTTTAAGGTCAGTGAAAACGTCCGGTACATCATTTTATATGTAGTAAGTGTTCAATACATGTCACTTTCTTTCCTTCTTTCCATCCTTCCTTGGAAATGGAAAGCATGATCTAAAGAGCCTTTCCTTATGCAAAATTCTGTCTACAAAGACTGCTGCATGCTTTCTTCCTGAGGTGAATCTTTTAAACTTAGAAATAATTTTTAGAAACTATTTTTTGATGTAAAGAAATCGCTGTCAGATTAACTGCTGCCTATAGACCCTTGATGCATATTTCTCTCAAGGTGGAGATTAAAAACTAGAATAGGAGGACATTTTGTAGCTCTGCTCTGAGAAAGTCTGATTGAACTGGGATTTTCTGATTAGGTAGGTAACATAAAAATGTTATTTGGTAGAATATAAAATCACTGGTAGTAATTCTATATAGAGCTGAATTTAAAAGGTGAATAATAGTGTCTGTTAACTGACAGAGCTGGGGAAAAGGTTTGAAAATGTGGCTTGCAGGCCTTATAAGTCAAATGGTCAGATAAGGTGGACAGAGAAACTGTCCCTAGAGAAACAGCCCTGTCACAGGATACATTGCAGTGTTGGCCAGCAGGACCACTGGGAGCTTCCAGAAGGTACCATGGTGTCTTAAACATTACCATGCAAATACAGGAATATAATTAAAGAATATAAAGTAATGCCAAATCATGAAATCTTTCACCTCTTGAAAAGAATGGGAATGAAAATTTGCAATGTTGGGACCTTTCAATTCCTCATGCAAGCTGTTCCCAGCACAACATGCACTGTATTGAATTAAAAATATCATCAGGATACCTAGAGAAGTATGATTGCTATTTTCGCCCTTGCTCCCATCTCAGTTGGCTTTGTCTGTGGCATCTGTATTTGCACAGCCAAATATTGCCGTGCAATTTGAAGAACTGAGTATATTTGCTGAAAACAGGGTTTTTAATCTCTTAGAAAATAGGTAGTTTTGGAAAAACATTATTTCTGTCTATGGAAAAAAAAACAGAGGCTTGTCATCTGAAAGATTTATATGAATAAATGTAAAGTTCAACAAGGTTTTTAAAAAAATTTTAAATGCAATTCATAATGTACAGCAGGCATTCACTAAGTTACACTTGCACAACTTATGAAGAACTGCACGTAAAACGTGGCTGATGAGGAACACATAAGGAGGAATGCTCTTCCAGTTAAAACTTTCTTTTCTTATCGTACATCTAATTCCAGATATTTTCCTGGCACCATTTTATTCCCTTCAAATTGCTATAAGAACTGTGTTAACAAAGGGGAGAAATGTTTCTGGGCCATGAGACAGGTATACAGCATAAAGTGAACAAAATATATTTCCCTAAGACATTGATTTCATCTCACCCTGGGGCACAAAACTGTATAACCCATAGAAAGGTCAGCTCCTGGCTTCCAGGTCCAGTCCCACAGAAGACTGCATTCAAAGAAACAACAGTATGTTAATAAAAAAAAAAAAGTGAAAAATTGAAATTCTTTTTTTTTCTTCTCCCCTTGACTTCAAAAATGGTTATTGAAGTCCCTTTCCTCCATTTGGGGTGGCTGAGCCTCACAGGGCCTGAGGGCCTGGGGACGCTGGATACTAATGGGCCAGGGCTGATAAGGTAATTGGGGCCAATGAGGCAGAGTGGGAAACAGAGCTGAAGGATCAGGGACAAAGAGGAGACTAAAGCCAGGATGGAGCTAAGGCTAAGGAAGTAATTAGGGCTGAGTTTTTTGGCCAGGGCTGGGGCACAGCAGGTTACATGGGGGCCCACAGAGCCAGAATGAAAAATGCAGTCAGGGCCAGAGAAGGTACCTGGAGCAGGTGGAGCTAGGGATGAGATGGCAATTGGGGGCCTATGATTGACTACCATTGCACTGGGTCACTCTATTTATGCAGATTTTAGACAGTTTCTTCCTTCCTGGAAAAAACATATTAGAAGTACTTCCACTTGGCTCTTCTTCAGAAGATCATATTCTTACTCTGTCCCTGCCTTCTATCCTCAGCCCAACAATCCCAACTACCTGTGTTTCTGTGGCCCACGTCATAAGGAGGCCTGACTCTACCTCTCCAATCCCTTGGCGCCTAAGCCTGGGTTTAGATGAGGTCACCAGAAATGTGATGGGAGAGCTAGTTGTGGAGTAGTGGCTCTTTTGTCCTCTCCTCTCAGGGCACCAGATCCCCTCTGTGTACAGATGTGGCTGTACAATCTGGAAGCAGTGTGCCCAGAGCACTTAGCAATGAACAAAATTCAGGTGAAGGAAGATAAGCCAATGCCTTGGCTTTCGTGAGTGCTTGGGCCCCACAAAACACAGATGTGACTTAACAGGACAGATGATGGTAAACGCAAAATGCAGAGATATGTTGAGTAGCCTTCTCTGATCACTCGATGCTTTTCAATTAATATTTGTCCACTTACATGAGAAGGTAACATTCCTACATAAAGTTCATCTCAGCTGGCAAATTATGCTATGCTCTTTTAAGGAAAACAACTGTATACACATGTATGAATGCAATAGGATCTAAAAGGCTTTACTGTATATAACAGATCACAGTTTTAAGTGCTTACTTGCATAACATAATAAACTCATAAGGTTTAAAATATAACCCAAAACAAAGGGACAATTCTCATCTCCAAATGCTATTACACTAGGATAGTTTTCCTGAAACAGGACCATTTCCAGTAGGTAATTATTTAGGGATTATGACAATGAAACATTATACATCTCAGTAAATTTCAGAGCATAGTTTAGGCATCCAGCTTTTGTCTAGAATTGTAATTACTCATTCTAACAAGAGAAAATACAGGAGCTGACATGACAGCACAAAGTAATTTTTCCATGCTAAGGCCTGTTGTGCAGATGATGGTCCATTTTGTTCTTTCTTCAGGAAACACAGTTCAAAAGGCAATGGGCTATTTCACCACAAGGTAGCCATCTTCTTTTCACATCCAAGTGACCAAACATGCTGGTTATAGCTTCATTGCATCCTATGTATTTTACTTACTTATTAGACCCACAAGGTTCTATATGCTACTTATCAAGATATAATCAAATCTTTCTTTCTTTCTTACTGTCTGTTTTAAAGTGTCTACCCTGATCAATTTTAAACTTCCTGAAGACAACAAATACATTTGATTTGACATATTAACTCTAGTGCCTAGCATAATGCAAGATTCCTAATAAATGTTTCATAAATATGTGGAGAGGGAGAGAGAGGAAAGAAAGAAGGATGAAATGAAATGAAAATGGAAGGAAGGAAGGAAAACAAAGGAAGACAGAAATGCAAAAAAAGAAGAAAGGAGATAAATATCAAAGTTTTTTGTATAGTGCAGTCAACATGACTTATGAATAAATAGGTTAATAATTATTAACCATTTTAACCTACAAGACAATAATTCACTTGGCAATACATGACATTTACAAGATAGCAACATTTTAGTCCTTTCATACAGCAGATACGTGGACTATACATTATTTGAAGAATTTTTCTAACAGTCTTGGTTTCCTTATGCTATAACCTCTGTTTCCAAATGAATTCTGATCTATTTTTAAAATAGAAGTGCCCTATCCAGAAGTCTTTAACGTCTCCATATCATACCCATTCAGTATTGCTACTCAAAAACCACACAGTCATTCTTGACGTTTTTTCTTGCCACACGTTTCCAATCCATTATCAAGACTGTCAAGGTTCCCTCCCCGATATTTTTTTAATCTGTCTTTCCCTTCATCTCTATTGTTACAAGTCTAACCTAAGCTGCCATTATTTTTCCCTTAGTCAACAGAAATAACCTCATATCTGATCTTGCTTCTGATCTGGATACTTCAACCTACTTACCCTCCTGCAACCATAGTGTTTCAAAACACAAAACTGAGCATGCCAAACTCATAAATAAAGACTCAAATTTTTAACCCTCCCCTTACTTTTCCAGTGATGTCTAGCAGCATTCTCATCCTCACCCTCTAGACTCCAGTCTCTCTATCCTCATTTTAGTGCCTTTAAAGTATCAGTCTCTCCTGCAGTGCAGTTACTGTACATATTGCTTTCTTCTGGAATGTACTGAGAACATCTGGAATGTTCTCATACACCTATGCCCTTTACCTAATTAAAGCATACTGATGTTGTGAGTCTCAGCTCAAGTAACACTCCTTCAGGAAATTTTTCATGGACAGCCTTTTCCCTTCTAGTCTAGGTTAGGCTCTTTTATAATATGTTCCATGTAATCATGTTCTTGGCCTTAATAAAATTCATTTTAGATTGGAATGAAATACTTATATAATTGACCAATTAATATCTGTTTCACCTATTAGAATATAAGAACTATGAGAACCTTGTCTGTTTCTGTTCAACATTGTATAAACATTTTCTAGCATAATGAGTACCATATAATTTATAATCAATACATATTGTTGAAGGAGTTAAATAATTAAGTATACTCAAATATATATATTTTTTTAAATGTTCTCATAAACATAGGGAACATTTTTAGAAACCAATTTCTAATCTAAAATGAAAACTCACATTTTATATTTTAATTAACTTCTCTATAATTGTAAAGGAAGAGTACCATCAATACTGTCATTGGTGACAGTTTCTTTTCTATGAAAAAATGTTGAAACATTGGGTTTTAATATAACTTTGTGATGAAACCAAATTAATATGCTGAACATCTCGATCTCATCATCAAATCACCTTGAATTTGAGTAATAA